AGGTTGGAGGTGGTTATGGATGTTTGGAGAAGGTTCCAGGTGGTTTGGAGAAGGTTGGAGGTGGTTATGGGGCTTTGGAGAAGGTTCCAGGTGGTTTGGAGAAGGTTTGAGATGGTTATGGAGGTTTGGAGAAGGTTCCAGGTGGTTTGGAGAAGGTTTGGAGAAGGTTGGAGGTGGTTCTGGGGTTTTGGAGAAGGTCTGGGATGGTTTGGAGAAGGTTTGGAGAAGGTTGGAGGTGGTTATGGGGTTTTGGAGAACATTCGTGGTCATTTATGGACCATTCGTGGTCATTTATGGGGCTTGGAGAAGGTTTGAGATGGTTTAGAGAAGGTTTAGAGGTTTTGGAGAAGGTTGGAGGTGGTTATGGAGGTTTGGAGATCATCCGTGGTCATTTATGGACCATTCGTGGTCATTTATGGGGCTTGGAGAAGGTTTGAGATGGTTTAGAGAAGGTTTAGAGGTTTTGGAGAAGGTTGGAGGTGGTTATGGAGGTTTGGAGATCATCCGTGGTCATTTATGGACCATTCGTGGTCATTTATGGGGCTTGGAGAAGGTTTGAGATGGTTTAGAGAAGGTTTAGAGGTTTTGGAGAAGGTTGGAGGTGGTTATGGAGGTTTGGAGATCATCCGTGGTCATTTATGGACCATTCGTGGTCATTTATGGGGCTTGGAGAAGGTTTGAGATGGTTTAGAGAAGGTTTAGAGGTTTTGGAGAAGGTTGGAGGTGGTTATGGAGGTTTGGAGATCATCCGTGGTCATTTATGGACCATTCGTGGTCATTTGTTGGGTTGTGGAGACCATCCGTGGTCACCTATGGACCACCCACGGTCACTCATCAACCCGTGTCCACCCACCAACCATCCCTGCCCACCTCTTGACCTTCACACCTCACCCATGGTCAACTGGAGATCTCCAAATGACCACCAGAAGGTTCTGCTGACCACCGGAAGCTTCTGATGACCACCAGAAGGTTCTGCTGACCACCCTGGTGACCTCCCCAGGTCTCCCCGCGGTCATCACCACCTGCCTGGCCCTGGGCACTCGTCGCATGGCCAAGAAGAACGCCATCGTCCGCAGCTTGCCCTCGGTGGAGACCCTGGGCTGCACCTCGGTCATCTGCTCCGACAAGACCGGCACGCTGACCACCAACCAGATGTCCGTCTGCAAGGTGGGACCTTCTCGAAATTCCCGGGGTTTTCCATGGAGGAACTCCGAAATTCCATGGAGAACCCAAAGTTCCTGCAGGAACTTCAGAAGTTCTTCTGGAGAACCCAAAGTTCCTCCAGGAACCTCAAAAGTTCTTCTGGAGAACCCAAAATTTTCATGGAGAACCTCCAAAATTCCATGGAGAACCCAAAGTTTCTCCAGGAACCTCAAAAGTTCTTCTGGAGAACCCAAAATTCCTCCAGGAACTTCAAAATTTCAATGGAGAACCCAAAATTTCCATGGAGAACCCGAAGTTCCTCCAGGAACCTCAAAAGTTCTTCTGGAGAACCCAAAATTTCCATGGAGAACCTCCAAAATGTCCATGGAGAACCTCAAAGTTCTTCTGCCCAGGAACCTCCCGTGTCCTCCAAGGTCCTCAAATGTCCCCGTTTGTCCCCAGATGTTCATCATGGACAAGGTGGAGGGCGACGTCTGCTCCCTCAACGAGTTCTCCATCACCGGCTCCACCTACGCCCCAGAAGGAGAAGTGTGAGTTGGAGATGTCCCCAAATGTCACCTCAGAGGTCCTCAAAATCCACCCCAAGGTCTCCAGACCCTCAAAACCTTCTCAGGGGTCCTCAAAACCTTCTCGGAGGTTCTCAAGACCTTCTCAGAGGTCCTCAAAACCTTCTTGAAGGTCCTCAAAACCTTCTCAGAGGTCCTCAAAACCTCAAAGGTCCTCAAAACCTTCTTGAAGGTCCTCAAAACCTTATCAGAGGTCCTCAAAACCTTCTCAAAGGTCCTCAAAACCTTCTCGAAGGTCCTCAAAACCTTCTCAGAGGTCCTCAAAACCTTATTGAAGGTCCTCAAAACCTTCTCAGAGGTTCTCAAAAGCTTCTTGAAGGTCCTCAAAACCTTCTGGGAGGTTCTCAAGACCTTCTCAAAATCCACCAGAAGGTCCCCAAATGCCACCCGACCTCCCCTTGACCCTCGATGACCTCGAGGTCCTCTCTGTCCCTCTTTGACCACCACGTCCACCTCGATGTCTTCTCCAGGTTGAAGCAGGACCGGCCGGTCAAGGCTGGTCAATACGATGGTCTGGTGGAACTGGCCACCATCTGCGCCCTCTGCAACGACTCCTCGCTGGACTACAACGAGGTGACCACGGCGGGCCACCAGGGTGTCCTCAGACCTGGCTGGTGGGACCTCATGGGGGGTGGTGGGACCTCGATTTTGGGTGGTTGGACCTCAAGTTTGGGTGGTGGGACCTCAAATTTGGTGGTGGGATTTCAGGTTTGGGTGGTGGGACCTTGATTTGGGTGGAGGAACCTCCGGTTTGGGTGGTGGGACTTCAGGTTTGGTGGAGGAACTTCAGGTTTGGGTGGTGGGACCTTATTTGGGGTGGTGGGACCTCATTGTGAGTGGTGGGATCTCAGGTTTGGGTGGTGGGACCTCATGGGGGGGTGATGGGACCTCAATTTGGGTGGAGGAACTTCAGGTTTGGGTGGTGGGACCTCATTGGGGGTGGTGGGACCTCAGGTTTGGTGGTGGGACCTCATTTAGGGGTGGTGGGATCTCAAATTTGGTGGAAGAACTTCAGGTTTGGGTGGTGGGACCTCAAGTTTGGGTGGTGGGACCTCATTTAGGGGTGGTGGGACCTCAATCTGAGAACTTCGGCTCTTCTGTGACCTCTTCCCGTTCCTCTGTGACCCCCAAACCCCCCTCGGTTGTCCCCACCCCCGTGGTGACCTCGAGATGTCTCCAAAAAGTCCAAAGGTGTCTACGAGAAGGTCGGCGAGGCCACCGAGACGGCGTTGACCTGCCTGGTGGAGAAGATGAACGTCTTCAACACCGACGTCAGGAGCCTCTCCAAGGTGGAACGCGCCAACGCCTGCAACGCCGTGAGTGTCACCTGGGCCACCACCTGGGACATCTTCTGGGTCACCTGGAGAAGGTCCTGGTGTCACCTTGGCTTTGGAGGTCTCCATGGTCTGGTGTCCCATCGAGAATCCAGAAGTTGTCTGAGATGGGTGGGGTGGGTTTTGATGGAGAAGGAGAAATTCCTCCAGGAACCTCCAAAATTTCCATGGAGAACTCAAAATTTCTTCTGGAGGACCCAAAGTTCCTCCAGGAACCTCCAAGATTTCCATGGAGAACCCAAAATTTCTTCTGGAGAACCCAAAGTTCCTTCAGGAACCTCCAAAATTTCCATGGAGAACCCAAAACTTCTTCTGGAGAACCCAAAACTTCTTCTGGAGAACCCAAAGTTCCTCCAGGAACCTCCAAAACTTCTTCTGGAGGACCCAGGCCATGACTGTCCCCTGTCCCACCTGTCCCAGGTCATCAAGCAGCTGATGAAGAAGGAGTTCACGCTGGAGTTCTCCAGGGACAGGAAGTCCATGTCGGTCTTCTGCTCCCCGGCCAAGGCCTCCAGAGCCGCCGTGGGCAACAAGATGTTCGTCAAGGTGAGGTCACCTGGATGACGTCATTTAGGTCACCTGGGTGATGTCATCTGTGTCCCACCACTTCCAGACCGTGTCCCACCACCCCAGACCTTCTCAAACTTGGGTTCCACCACCCCAAACCCTCTCAAACCCAGGTCCCACCACCCCAAACCTTCTCAAACCCAGGTCCCACCACCCCGAACCTTCTCAAAGTTGGTTCCCACCACCTCAAACCTGGTCCCACCACCTCAAACCTCCTCAAACCTGGTTCCCACCACCCCACCAAGATGTCCCCAACTTCTCCACCCCCTCGTGTCCACCCCAGGGTGCCCCCGAGGGCGTCATCGACCGCTGCAACTACATCCGCGTGGGGACCACCAGGGTTCCTCTGACCCCGGCGGTCAAGGAGAAGATCCAGAGCGTCATCAAGGAGTGGGGGACGGGCAGGGACACCTTGCGCTGCCTGGCCTTGGCCACCAGGGACACCCCACCCAAGAAGGAGGACATGGTCCTGGAGGACTCCTCCAAGTTCTCCGAGTATGAGGTGGGTGGGTCACGAGGTGGTCCTGGGGTGGGGTTGGGTGGTGGGAGGTCATTCTTGGGTGGTGGGACCTCATTGGAGGTGGTGGGAAGTCATTGGAGGTGGTGGGACCTCATTGGGGGTGGTGGGACCTCATTTTTGGGTGGTGGGACCTCGATTTTGGGTGGTGGGACCTCGATTTTGGGTGGTGGGACCTGAATTTGAGGGTTTGGAGCTTTTGAAAGGGGTTCCTGGTCCTCTGTGACCTCCAAACCCCATTTCATGGAGGTTCCTGGTCCACCACAACCTCCAGACCTCAATTTTTGGAGGTTCCTGGTCCTCTATGACCACCAAACCCCATTTCTTGGAGGTTCTTGGTCCACCACCATCTCCAAATCTCAATTTTTGATCTCCAAACCTCAATTTTTGGAGCTTCCTGGTCCTCTGTGACCTCCAAACCTCAATTTTGGAGCTTCCTTCTCCACCACCATCTGGAGACCTCATTTCTTGGAGCTTCCTGGTCCACCACCATCTCCAAACCCCATTTCTTGGAGCTTCCTGGTCCACCACCATCTCCAAACCCCATTTCTTGGAGCTTCCTGGTCCACCACCATCTCCAAACCCCATTTCTTGGAGGTTCCTGGTCCACCACCATCTCCAAACCCCATTTCTTGGAGCTTCCTGGTCCACCACCACCTCCAAACCCAAAATTTTTGAGTTCCTGGTCCACCACCACCTCCAAACCTCAATTTTTGGAGCTTCCTGGTCCTCCATGACCTCCAAACCTCCAACCTTTCCCACCCCACCGCCACCACCACCAGACCGACCTGACCTTCGTGGGCTGCGTGGGGATGTTGGACCCACCACGCAAGGAGGTCATGGGCTCCATCCGCCTGTGCCGCGACGCCGGCATCCGCGTCATCATGATCACGGGGGACAACAAGGGCACGGCCATCGCCATCTGCCGCCGCATCGGCATCTTCGGCGAGGACGAGGAGGTCTCCGGTCGCGCCTACACCGGCCGGGAGTTCGATGACCTCCCGTTGTCCGAGCAGCGAGAAGCTTGTCGCCGGGCCTGCTGCTTCGCCCGGGTGGAGCCCACCCACAAGTCCAAGATCGTGGAGTTCCTGCAGTCCTTCGATGAGATTACGGCCATGGTGAGGAGATGGAGGTGGTTTTGGAGGTCCACCATGAAGTTATGGGGTTTGGGGGGGAGAAGATCTTGGTTGATGTCGTTTTGGAGGTCTACTATGGGTTTGAGTGGGTTTGAGTGGGTTTGGGGCTCGGTGGATGTGGTTTTGGAGGTCCACCATGGGTTTGAGGGGGTTTGAGGGTCAAAAGATCTTGGTGGACGTGATTTTGGAGGTCTACCATGAATTTATGGGGGTTTGGGGGTTGATGGATGTGGTTTTGGAGGTCCACCATGGGTTTGAGAGGGTTTTGGGATCGGTGGATGTGGTTTTGGAGGTCTACCATGAATTTATGGGGGTTTGGGGGTTGGTGGACGTGGTTTTGGAGGTCTACCATGAAGTTATGGGGTTTGGGGGGGGGGAAGACTCTTGGTGGAGGTGGTTTTGGAGGTCCACCATAGGTTTGAGAGGGTTTGGGGGTTGGTTGATGTGGTTTTGGAGGTCTACCATGGGTTTGAGTAGGTTTGGGGGT